TGAGGAGCAGGAGTGTGACGCTCGTCGAGTGAGTGTGTGTGTGTGTTTGAGGAGCAGGAGTGTGACGCTCGTCGAGTGAGTGTGTGTTTGAGGAGCAGGAGTGTGACGCTCGTCGAGTGAGTGTGTGTGTGTGTTTGAGGAGCAGGAGTGTGACGCTCGTCGAGTGAGTGTGTGTGTGTTTGAGGAGCAGGAGTGTGACGCTCGTCGAGTGAGTGTGTGTTTGAGGAGCAGGAGTGTGACGCTCGTCGAGTGTGTGTGTGTGTTTGAGGAGCAGGAGTGTGACGCTCGTCGAGTGAGTGTGTGTTTGAGGAGCAGGAGTGTGACGCTCGTCGAGTGAGTGTGTGTTTGAGGAGCAGGAGTGTGACGCTCGTCGAGTGTGTGTGTGTTTTTGAGGAGCAGGAGTGTGACGCTCGTCGAGTGAGTGTGTGTGTGTTTGAGGAGCAGGAGTGTGACGCTCGTCGAGTGAGTGTGTGTTTGAGGAGCAGGAGTGTGACGCTCGTCGAGTGAGTGTGTGTGTGTTTGAGGAGCAGGAGTGTGACGCTCGTCGAGTGAGTGTGTGTTTGAGGAGCAGGAGTGTGACGCTCGTCGAGTGAGTGTGTGTGTGTTTGAGGAGCAGGAGTGTGACGCTCGTCGAGTGTGTGTGTGTGTGTTTGAGGAGCAGGAGTGTGACGCTCGTCGAGTGAGTGTGTGTGTGTTTGAGGAGCAGGAGCGTGACGCTCGTCGAGTGTGTGTGTGTGTTTGAGGAGCAGGAGTGTGACGCTCGTCGAGTGTGTGTGTGTGTGTTGAGGAGCAGGAGTGTGACGCTCGTCGAGTGTGTGTGTGTGTTTGAGGAGCAGGAGTGTGACGCTCGTCGAGTGAGTGTGTGTTTGAGGAGCAGGAGTGTGACGCTCGTCGAGTGAGTGTGTGTGTGTTTGAGGAGCAGGAGTGTGACGCTCGTCGAGTGAGTGTGTGTGTGTTTGAGGAGCAGGAGTGTGACGCTCGTCGAGTGAGTGTGTGTTTGAGGAGCAGGAGTGTGACGCTCGTCGAGTGTGTGTGTGTGTTTGAGGAGCAGGAGTGTGACGCTCGTCGAGTGTGTGTGTGTGTTTGAGGAGCAGGAGTGTGACGCTCGTCGAGTGTGTGTGTGTTTGAGGAGCAGGAGTGTGACGCTCGTCGAGTGTGTGTGTGTGTTTGAGGAGCAGGAGTGTGACGCTCGTCGAGTGTGTGTGTGTTTGAGGAGCAGGAGTGTGACGCTCGTCGAGTGTGTGTGTGTGTTTGAGGAGCAGGAGTGTGACGCTCGTCGAGTGTGTGTGTGTGTTTGAGGAGCAGGAGTGTGACGCTCGTCGAGTGTGTGTGTGTGTGTTTGAGGAGCAGGAGTGTGACGCTCGTCGAGTGTGTGTGTGTGTTTGAGGAGCAGGAGTGTGACGCTCGTCGAGTGTGTGTGTGTGTTTGAGGAGCAGGAGTGTGACGCTCGTCAAGTGTGTGTGTGTTTGAGGAGCAGGAGTGTGACGCTCGTCGAGTGTGTGTGTGTGTTTGAGGAGCAGGAGTGTGACGCTCGTCGAGTGTGTGTGTGTGTTTGAGGAGCAGGAGTGTGACGCTCGTCGAGTGTGTGTGTGTGTGTTTGAGGAGCAGGAGTGTGACGCTCGTCGAGTGTGTGTGTGTGTTTGAGGAGCAGGAGTGTGACGCTCGTCGAGTGTGTGTGTGTGTTTGAGGAGCAGGAGTGTGACGCTCGTCGAGTGTGTGTGTGTGTTTGAGGAGCAGGAGTGTGACGCTCGTCGAGTGTGTGTGTGTGTTTGAGGAGCAGGAGTGTGACGCTCGTCGAGTGAGTGTGTGTGTTTGAGGAGCAGGAGTGTGACGCTCGTCGAGTGAGTGTGTGTGTGTTTGAGGAGCAGGAGTGTGACGCTCGTCGAGTGTGTGTGTGTTTGAGGAGCAGGAGTGTGACGCTCGTCGAGTGAGTGTGTGTGTGTTTGAGGAGCAGGAGTGTGACGCTCGTCGAGTGAGTGTGTGTGTGTTTGAGGAGCAGGAGTGTGACGCTCGTCGAGTGTGTGTGTGTTTGAGGAGCAGGAGTGTGACGCTCGTCGAGTGTGTGTGTGTGTTTGAGGAGCAGGAGTGTGACGCTCGTCGAGTGTGTGTGTGTTTTTGAGGAGCAGGAGTGTGACGCTCGTCGAGTGAGTGTGTGTGTGTTTGAGGAAAAGGAGTGTGACGCTCGTCGAGTGAGTGTGTGTTTGAGGAGCAGGAGTGTGACGCTCGTCGAGTGAGTGTGTGTGTGTTTGAGGAGCAGGAGTGTGACGCTCGTCGAGTGAGTGTGTGTTTGAGGAGCAGGAGTGTGACGCTCGTCGAGTGAGTGTGTGTGTGTTTGAGGAGCAGGAGTGTGACGCTCGTCGAGTGTGTGTGTGTGTGTGTTTGAGGAGCAGGAGTGTGACGCTCGTCGAGTGTGTGTGTGTGTTTGAGGAGCAGGAGTGTGACGCTCGTCGAGTGTGTGTGTGTGTTTGAGGAGCAGGAGTGTGACGCTCGTCGAGTGTGT